TTCTGCCCGTTTAGCAGACTGGAGCCACCCATCTTTAGTACTCCCCCCAACACACCGAACAAAGGCAGCATGACACAGCAGTTCATCACGCTGGCTAAAGAAAGAGTTGCAGATCTGCTGCTCAGACAGTAATGTCTCATTTATCCACATCCTGCTGTCCTTGAGGACGGCTAGGTCAAGTGTCATGCGGCGCGGGATTGCTTTGTCTTCATATCCTCACATATCCTGCTTATTTCCAGGGAGCCCTTGCAGCAGGGCCTGACAAATCATGATCCTGCCAAATTTTAACTTTTAGGAATTTTCACGGTGGATGTTACTTTTTTTTAAAGGGCATGCAAATGAAATGCTAGGTTTCTTTGTGTTGTTAATTGTATAACTCATTTTTATACATAGCTTATTCATATTAATATACCCTGGTCGATGCACACGAGACATTCATCAATTTGTTCCAAATTTAAATTCAAGTCAAATCAGTTCAACTCCAAGTGCAGAAGGTACTACAAAAACCACATCAGCCTTTAAATGATGCCTTCTTTCTCATACATTATACTGTATAAACGATGCATATTATTCCTATTAAGCACGATATATGCATTGTTACTGTTGTATTGATTTTAGGCGTAGCATCAGTTAATTTTGTTAAGAAATAGTCACATTTAATTCAGTTTGAACCATTTATTAGCCCAAAATGTTATTATGTTGAGGTTACAAAAGTTGTTTATAATAAAAATAGGATGTTTTTTAATGGAATCCTTCACGTCATTTCGAGTTTTAAGCCACAAACTTATCTCAACGACCCTTGAATGGATGCTATGAACATTACTAGATTTACTCATGGTCCCCAGAGCACAACTCCTTCTCGGTTTGTTGATCTCCTGAGAGCAATATTCATTTATTTAGTGGAATATCTTAAAATCTACAACATGGACTGCCACAAAACTTTGTACGGTTATTCATGGTTCCCAGGAGATGAATCCCATTGACTTTGATGTTGATCTCTAAAAGATGTGTTCCCATCAGGATGAATTGTAATCAGAATACCTTTATTCATCCCACAGAGGGGAAATGTACATTTATTACAGCAAGTAAAGAGCCAAAGATAGCTTAATATTATTAAAAAATAATAATAATAGAAGTTACACAATGTACTAATTACACATCCAGTAGGCTACCAGTACCAGTTGTGAGCTAGCAGCCAGGGGATAGTATTTAAAGCCCCGTCATTGGGTCATCATCTCAATTTGCCTACTACATTTGATAACCTATTTTCACGACCAATAAACGACATGCAATATTAAAACGTCAGTCTGATTCGATAGCGCAGACCTCCGCTGAATTTTTCACAAGGTGAAATATAATGCTTGAATCCGCCCTGAGAGTTTGATCCGTCTCTCTTTCCCACCCTTCCTACAAGTTTCCTGAAAATCAGTAGTAGTTTTTCCATAATCCTGCTGGCAAGAAAACAATCTAACTAACTACATTAATTGAAAGCATGGTTCATCATTACGGTGCCAACATAGAAAACAGCCAAGTTGCTGTGGAAATGAACTCATTACTGGATGTGTCATTTTAGTTTGATCTACCCCTCTCACTGGCTAACAGAAACACATGCAGGAGAGTACACACAGTATGTTGGTATCTCCATTAGAGCCTTCTGTGCTTTAACAGCTGTTAATCAAAGACAGCAGTGATAATAATGTGCTCTGGACGGTGCATTTCAATAAAAGTATTTTGTCCTTGGTTTTTATAACATCCATCTCAAGGAAGAATACATCAAAGCCTGACACAAAGCCATCCTCTACATCAGGGGTCTCAAACTCAAGGCCCGGGGGCCAAATCCGGCCTGCGACTTCATTTTATGATTTTATGCGGCCAGGAGCGGACTGGGACCGGGACTCTCGACCGGCCCACTTCGGTAACGCCCACCTCGGTACCGCGAGTGAATTTGGACGGGGACGGGGTGCTAGTGACTTATCCGACCAGCCCACATCGTCCGACCGGCCCGCTTCAGTACCGGCCCATCGGAATTCGTCCCAATCCGCCCCTAAGTGGCCCCACAAGAGCTTGCAAAGAATATTATACGTTCATTATATGGTTGAATGCCACTTTTCAGAAGCAGGTTGCCCATAAACTACATGCCCCACAATGCATCTCGTTTTGTGACATGCGCTCTGGGCTTCTGCTTTCAGACATAGTTAATTACTAAGTTATTATCCTATCCGGTAATAATCAAATTCTGAGGCAATAATGTAATATACTACATTATTTTATATATATATATATTATATATTTATATAGTTACAACCGGCCCTTTGAGTGCAACCTTTATGCGAATGTGGCCCGTGATGAAATTGAGTTTGACACCCCTGCTCTACGTGAACGCGTCCAGTTCTTCCTTCCAGCAGAGAGAATGACTCGTCCGTGAGCACGATGAAATGTCTATCTAAATATTGGCTTCGGCAGTCATGAGGAGAGAACATGAACCCCCAGGGAGCCGCTGGATGAAAACGTGCTGCTATTAACGAACACCAATGACCTGAAATCTGTCAGCGAAATCCAGCCTGCAGTGTTCACACTGAGCTGGAGAGGTGACAGAAGAGTCTGTTAGGAGATGAAAGGCTGAACCAGAATCTATGAACATCAGGGTGAGAAGGTCCGTCTGGATGTTGTCAGAGAAGATGCAGTAATGTGGTTGTTCAATATTTCACTCTCACTATTTTCACAAAAAGATATAAGGAAGTGAAACAAAAAGTGACTATAATTACAGCTACAATACTACAAGTTACCCTGAGGCTGATATACATTTCCCAGCATTTTTGACACACTATTTCATTGCAATTAATCACATAAGGGCTGAAGTATTTTAGTCTGGACCACAGGATCAACAGCCTAAGAGCTACAAATGTAATATTGCCTTGTCCAGATTTTTCAAACGACTTTCTCGGTTTAATATAATTTTTGGGTGTATTTATTTTGGTCTAATTTCTATAATACTTCACTTTGGGCAATAATAACTTGTATTGGTAAATCTTCCCTTTTTAAAAAACAAAACACATGATCAGGCAAAAGAAAAAAATCTTGATACAGCAGACAGTTCATTCAATCACAAACTCTGTAAGTGTGATAGCGGTTGGTGTTTTTCCAATGCCTTTACTTGCTATAACTATATTGCTTTCTCCCAACCCTTTAAGTCATATCTATCCCACACTCCCTCAGGGTGCTTGTTTTAAAGTAAGAAATGTGTGTTTACACTGTACAGGGTAACAAAGCAGCACAGTCCATCTCTACCTGCTGGCTCGTTCTCCTCTACACGAGCTCAAGTCATCGCTCCATGTACTGAGTCTAAACAACAAAGAAGTGTTGAATAAATACTTCAGCTCCCTCTGTCATATATTCTCTTACTGAACTTCCACTTGCCTCTGTATGCTGCTGTCTTAAACTACACTTGAATGTACTCATACCCGCCTCTTGTTTCTGTCATTGATCATTCTGTTCCACGTTCTATCGTTAATCCTTTCATGGATTGTGTCACTTGTTAGGGCCTTTTGGCTTTGACCCCTGCACTACCGGCTGGCTCACATACTGATACCCTTTCATATGTGTTCTCCAGTGTGCACAGCTGACATCCATCCAAATGAGACTTTAAACAAATGTGACAGTGTTAAGTTCCTCTCTTCTTGTTATCGATAGTTTGAAAGAATCAAGATGTCTAATATATGATGAATTATAAAAAATGTAGGACCTACTGCTTCTGGAGCCTTGGTGATATCAGGGATAAAAGTCAGACTATCTGGCATCAAGCTGCTTTGATAATTACCACTCTTTGTCTATCATGTGTCTATTTTGTGATTCCTTCGTCTTTAAAACGTCAATGTTCTATATTTAATTCAATATTATCTCTATTTGGTTTTATAGCAAACATTTCATTCTAAAAATAAATCACAACATGTTTATTTTCTCAATAAGACTAATATTAACAACACATTATAATGGATGAGTCTGACTTAAATGCTGTCCACACTAAAGAATATGTATGGTTAGGATACAACTGTTGCCAAGTCACAAGACTGTATAATGAAGCTCTTCTCATTTGAATGAGTGAGTTGTCTGTCCTCAGGAGCTTCAGGTTTATCCATGTCTCCGGATTAATAAAATGTCATGCTAACATTCTTCTGACTCAGAAGCTTGACCTGCTTTTGGCTAAAAAAACAAGCCTGCAAACCACAGAGGACTTCAGGGTAATAGCTGATATATCATTTAGTTCATTTCTCTGCAAAGATGCTAATCATTCAAACATTTCAGCAGAACAAAAGCATGCACTGACTTTACAGCTGCGGTTCGGCTTTTGTACCATAAAGGGTTTTTTCGGTTTGAGTGCTTACACTAATCTCTTTTCAAGAGAAAACCAACGATAAAGTCTGCTAACTGGTCCGGTTGATTAACGGACACATTCGGCTACATAGCATATTTCACAAAACCTTTAACATGAGAGCAGAGTTGAACATCAAAGTGACAGCATCATCACACAAAAGGGCCTATTGCAATAATAGCTCAAGTGCAGAAGCAAGACATTTGAAATAGTTTTATGAAGAGAGAAGAGTGGAGCTTTTGGATATACTGCACAACTTTTTCTATAATTTCCACGTGTCAGAAAAGAGATGAGGCCTGCTGTTTTCTCAGTGTGATAACATTACCTTGATCGCAAGATTATTGAATTTCAGGGGTCAGTCACTTTGGTCAGGACAGAGAGGAAAGTGTTGGTGGGAAATCTAATCTCTCAGTCGGTTACTCCTGCACTGACGTGTGATATTTCATGAGTGTCGACAATGCGCTGCATATGTTACAACAAGACAAGATTTAGACAGCTGAAAAGAACAATTTAAAATGTTACTTGTGGAAAAAATACAAACCACAAAAACGTAAGTGGTACCTGTTTATTTAAGCAACATGTCATGTGACACAAAGATTACAAGTCAAAGTTGGATAGGCGGTAGGTTTCTTTAATAAAAGGACAGGCAGCTGTTTAAGTCTCCATGATAACGCTTGCAGGAGGTGTAATCTTCAACGCACCCCTTACAGTAGCACTTACTGGCCACGGGGTAGGAGACAGGCTCTGCACACCCGTCAATGTGCGTCACCTCGTAGGACCAGTCCCCGTTACAGGTCTCCTGTTTCCTAAGCTCTGCATAACGCTCAGGCAAGAACGAATCCTGTGAGGAACAGAACACGATTAGAAGCTCACGATTACTGATTCAAAAGGTACCCTTCTAACCTTTGTTGAACTGTCTGTTTTTATTATGAGATCCAGCATAATTGTATTTATTATGTTTTATTTGTAGTGTCAAATAAAGTTTTATTAGGCTGAACTGAGGCAAAAATCCGTTCTTATCAGCAGAGCGGGGAAAAGTACTCAGATCCTTTATAAATATGATGGTGTTAAAATACTCAATTACAACTGAGGGGAAAAAAAGTAAAAAATACAAAAGTATTAGCACCGAAATCGAAAATATTGTATTTCTGCACATTAGACATCAAAAGTAAAAGTACTCTTAAAGTTAATATTAAAGAATATTTTCTTATTCTGTTTTTTAAATCTTACAAATACAGGGCACAGCATATTATTTCAATGTTTAAGTTTGTAAATGTTGATACATTGATAGCCGTTAAGTAGTAAAGAAGTGTGTCATATCATTTAAGCTTCTGTTTTTATAAGTAAAAGTAACTATAAGTGCATAAAAACGGTAGTGCAGTAAAAAGTACTTATTTTTCCTCTGAAATGTTATGAAGTTAAAGTATAAAGTAGCAAAAGAAAAACAGGTAAAGTACAATGATGTCATAAAAATACTTACAGTAAGAACTATACTAGAGTAAATGCACTACATTCCACCTCTGCTTATCAGACGTTTCTAAAACTCTATAAGTATACAGTGGCAGCTCCATACACCGGGCAGAGCCTATCAGAATCATGCATATCAGCTAAATGAATGCACCTGCAGTTTGAATCACCTCAGAGTGATAATCGTTCTCTACCTCATTGGGACACTGTCCGACACAAATGGTGGTGTTGATCTCCTTCTTTATGCCACAGCCCCTCACGGTGATGGGGACCGTGGTCGGGTAACACCTGGACCTGCAGGGCTGCCCCGCCCCCGCCAGAGCCAGCACTGCTGCCATGACAACCAGCTGCATCATCTTCCTGGTGCAGCACAGACGCCTGCCACGTAACAAGATCAAGTAGATGAGGATTACATTGAGGCACAGTTTGACTTTGTCCAGAGTTGTTGTGATACAAAATGTTGTGGGTCAATTGTGGACATATTTATCTTTTGTGTCTCCTAAAACAAAACCAAATTATCTCTGGATGCAAAAATATCTTGATATATCCGAGCAGCTTTGCTTTTGACATCACTATTTAAGTTGGTCAAGTAGAAGTATATGTTCCTGCTGTGGAAAAAATATGTAAAAACAAATATGTATATATATATAGAGAGAAGATTAGATTTGATTAGAGAACTGCGATACATTAATTTCAAGAATTGGTACGATCAACATAAACAGATTTGAATTTGTTTCACCTAAGTTACATCTATCTTTCTACACAGATGATTCAGGTATTTGTTAAGGAGATCAATGTCATTTTGTTTGTGATAATCTAAGCTTTTTTTCCCTGTAAAAAGTTGAACCCTCAAACATTTCTTCAGACTTTGCAGGACACAAGTATATAATTAAAACATTACGACTGCATTAAATCCACATGAATCTTCACCACGTCAAAAAGGTGTACCTGTAGATCTCCGTTGTTGCGTTGAACCTCTGCTGTGTGTGTGTCGTTTCTTCTGTTACTCTCTCAATATCTGCAGCAGCTGTGAACCTGCGGCTATGCTGTCTCCCTCTTAAATAGCGCTGCTCATAAATCCCGTTAATCTATTCATCCTTGGCCTCGGTGCTATTTCCCCACCTGTTTAGTCTGAAAAGCTATATTTTCCCTCAACAGTTTGGGGGAGGGCCCAGAGTTCAAGGATGCTTTGTTTCCAACATATGAGAAGGAGCGAGTCGCTATCTACAGATAATCTTGTTAAGATTACACGAATGGAGGATTGGATGGACCACACAAATGTAAAAATAAATCTGCCCCCACAGTGAGATGGAAAACACTGACATGAGCATCATTCATTTGTCACACTCCGTCTTCCCTGCTTTGTGTCTGCCATTTTCCAGTGTTTGAATGTCATGTTATATATCTTTCTACATACATATATGTCAGATTGTATAACTATCTACATATATATACATATATATGTTCTGTATTGACAGAGAAGCGTTGACCAGTCAGTGTTTTTCTCTGAACCCGCCTATGTTTTACACAATTACAGCTTTCCTCCAAATCATTTCTGTATTGCTTTTTGTGTTTAAAAAAAAAAGACATCATCACAGTGATTATTCCCCAATCTTAGTTGTTGTAGTGAATTCATCCTTCACAGACCATTTTGTAAACTTAATGATATGGGATGCACAAGTGAAAGAAACCGCAGGGAACTTTGTCGGCAATGTCTGTCCGTATACATCGTTACATAATTATATTATTACATTACATTACATTACATTTAGCTGACGCTTTTATCCAAAGCGACTTACAATAAGTATTATGATGTGAAATGTAGTTTTCATGTGGATGCAGTGATTGTGGAAGTATTCAAATCATGAAGATAATAACAGGCACACAAAGTAATCAGTCAAATGTACTTTATATTCCTGGATCCTCGTCAATAAAACACTTGAACAACTAAGTGCAACTCATTTCTAACTAATGTTCTTTCATCACCTCACGTCCACAATAAGCTACACTGTGCTGAGCATCACAATGACATTGCATAGTTCAATATTATGTAGGTTTACATGTTAAAGTACGACGTATTAAACAATTTGTATGTACATATATCTTAATAATGACACTTACAATTCAGTTCAGTTGAAACTAAGTGAAGTGACCTGCTTATTATGAATAAGAATGGCAAAACAAAGTCATTAAAACAGATTGTGAGTTTCATGATCAGCACCATGGACAGCACTACACATCAAACACATTGTGCAGTGTGCAGCTCAAGTTGTATTGTATTGTGTTGGACTCTTTCATATTTACATCACTCAATATTCATATTTTAACCACCTCAAATCTGGAAAATAATTCAGAAAGAAACTGCTTCCACATACATTGTGAGTCAAAAACGTAACTTTAAAACAAGGTTAAACTAGTGCAGCTATATCAAATAAAGCATCCATTTTGCAACCTGTCTGCTCTCAAGCCTTTCTCTGATTTTCACCATACTGCTATTTAGTCAACATAGATTTGCATTTGTATTTGTTTAATTAGGAAAGGATAATTAATCAGCAGGAGCACTTGAGTCCATCGTGTAAATGTGCCAGATGTAGCCATATAGGCACATTTCCATCTGCACTACCGGGCAGGTCGATGGCATTAAAAGAACACATATAATCTAGTCCTGCATCCCATGGTTATTTCTGTTTTATTTCTGTTTATATTTCCTTCCAACTACTCAAAAATGTAAAATCATGTCGGCTAATTTGATTTGTTGGCCTCTTATCACCTGTCTCTTGCTATGCACATTATATAAAACATTAAATACAATTGTGTATTTCTGTAAGTTTTTTATTTCCAAGTTGTTTTTCTGTTTGTGGGAAGATGTGTTCTGTGTAGTGACACATAATGGTATTTGTCACTGGATTGGTATTATAGTTATGGAAGTTAATAAAGTACACATTAGTGATCCAAATAAGTCTGTTTGGGACCCATTTTTATAATTGTAGTAATGCGCTTTGCTAGAATGACCAATTAGCATGAAGGTATACATTGTCACACTTGTGATGTCAGCAGGTATTCATTTTATAGCTCCATAGACAAAGAATGAAACAGGCTTTGTTCTACCCTGTTCTCAAATCTGAAAAATACAATTCTTAAATGTGAATATACTTTAGCCATGTTGTTTTCAGGTTATTGAAATTAAACACGCCAAAGATATGCTTATTAATTAATCAGGGATATCAAATGTATACAAATACGTGCACCTTACGATCAAAGGACTACTTCATGTAAGCTTTCTTTCTTTGTTAAAGCTTTATATTTGTCATGTTTAAGGGAAGCGGCAGAAACTAAAAGGGGGAGCTATTTCTCCTAAAGAGAGAAAAATAAAGAAGGAGAACCAGCTGCACGAGCATAACTGAACAAGTAAATCCTAGTAGAAGGTATAAGAGACGTTAAAATGTCTAAAATATCTGATCATATCTACTACAAACTATTTTCCATTGACATCTGTTCAATTTGAACTCCAGGTGTGTTTAATTGCAGAAACGGGTTGGGTAAGGGGAAATATTCAGAATTAAAAACGGAGATTGTAGATGAGAAATTAGAGATGTATTTGTTTGCCCAAATATGGAAAGCAGCAGAAATGCTGTACTATACAAGAAACTGCTGCACAACCATTTTTATCCTAGTAGCCTTTACTTAAACCAAAAATATGAGATTTGGTAAAAGGCCTCTGTCACGTATGTGCATCAATGTCATGGAAACGGAACGTTGGGCCTGCAGTTAGAGCTGTTGACCATTCTGAGCTCACTTTGCAGTTGGACTTGGCCACCTGTGGAGAGAAAAGTCTTTGAGATTCAACCCGCTGGAAAACAAAACTTCTGAAAAACAAAACTACTGCATCCCTGATCTGCTGTGGAAACCCTGAGAGGCTCAACAAAAAACCCCGGTCTCCCAGAGGAGAAGAAGCACCTGCCGCTGGCCATCGGCCGCGTTGGGAAACTACACTCCAGGTAAAAAAAAAAAAATACACTTTTAAAAATCTTAGCCTTTTAATTGTTTAGTTATCCCCTTAAAATCACACAAAGCTGTTTCTGTGTGGACATTAGTGAGATTGTTTTAGTTTAAAGTTGAAAAGTTCAGTGAATGTTGGCATTACTTTTGGTCAAAATCAAATTTGGAGAAAGCAGAAACTCACTCTGTAAAATTCATATTTGTGGATAAGACTGACATTCTTTTGCGGTCGAGGTGTGGAATGTATTTACAAAGGGTGTATTGATTTGAAAAACACTGTTATTTTTGATTTAATTGCGAAATATCGTCGAAAAATGACCAAAAACCGAAAACAAACAAATGGCGATTGGGCCTAATTTCATAAAATGCAAAAAATATGGCCAAGTTATGCACCATGGCAACGACGCACAATTCCCTGCAGTGTGCGTCCTGCGTCCAAGACGACAAACGCCTACTTATAAACAGGAACATAATGACTAATAAACTCTAGAAATGTCTGCAAACTGCTGTGGTACTTTGCAGTATGCATACATACATTCATTTAGCTGTTTATTGTAACCAATTAGAGTTTGTCCACACATACACGTTTTTTTTTTTTGGGATCCCGGTGTTGCATTCTCCACAGTCAGCGTTTATGTATCTTGTTGCACATGTTTCTCTTGGTCTAAAGAAGGCTTTGCGGATGTGGAAAAATGCAATTTACTTTATTTACAATTATAGAGCGTTGTTTATGTGCAGTTGTATTATCAATCGTACACTGTTTGGAGATGTTATAACACAAATAATATTGCAAAATATTGATAATACATATTTTAATAGTTGTTGCTGTTTATCAGAAAAATTATAATGTATAATTCACAATGTTATTCAAATCACATTTAGCAGGCTTTTAATTTGTTCTCCTGTCAGCTTGGTGAATTAAAGTCATGGTTAAGATATGGTTATCCTACTTTTTTTTAAATTGAAGAATACATTTTTCTCCTCAGGTTCTGAGAACTTGGTCATGGAGAGTCCTGCAGGCGTTGAAGGTTATCCCCCTGTCTCCAACGCTCCTGATGAGGAAGAGGTAGGTGAGGTCAGGAACGCTGTCGAGGATGAAGGTGAGGTTGCTGTTGGTGTTATAGGTGGTGGCCATGGACTGGTGGAAGAGGAGGTTGAGCAGGAGGAGGAGGAGATGGAGGAGGAAGAGGAGGAGGAAATGGAAGAGGAGGAGGAAGAGGAGGAGGAGGAGGAGGAGGAGGAGGAGGAGGAGGAGGAGGAGGAGGAGGAAGGCTGGGTGTCCGAAGATTCTGGATACGAGTCCATGTCCTCCGAGGAAGAAGATGAAGAGGAGGAGCAGGAAGAAGACCAAGAGGAAGAAGACCAAGAGGAAGAAGAGAACAATGAAGATGATGGTGATGCCGACATCGGACGTCTCTTCCCTCTCGTCCCGGTGTTCCCGCCGGTTGGTTTTTGGCAGGCATTGCTTTGGAACTTCACCCCAAGCTTCCCCACTGGACCTCCCTGCACCTTCCCTTTTGGTGTTGCTCCTCCTGAGGCTTCTGCGCCGCAAGTGGAACGTCCTGAAGAAGCTCCACCCTCAGCCCCTCCAAGGTCGGAGGGGTCCGCTCCATCGACCTCAGGCCTTGGCCTCCCCACCAAGAGGACCTGGGAAGAGGACTGCAGGGAAGAGGACTGCAGGGAAGAGGACTACAGGGACTTGCCAAACTCCACCTCAGGCCTCAGCCTCTTAACCAAGAGGACCAGGGAAGAGGACTTCAGGGACTCGACACCCTCCACCTCAGGCCTCTGCCGTCCCATGGAAAAGAGATACCGTCCGGAGGACCAGAGGCCCTCTGAGGACAGCGACTCGGACTGAGACGAACACCTGCTGCAAGATTTGAAAACCTTTGCGTCTGGCAGGACTGATGAAGCCGCAGGCAGCTTCCAACATGTCTTGCTGGGTTTGTGATATGTCAAATCTTGCACTGGGACCTTTTATTAATATATAGGTTATCTTTTGAATATTGTTTGTTTGTTTTGATAATATCTGATGATGGTCGATGCTCATACCAGCTGCCCCCATCTGCACGTTTTTAGCAGGCATTGTGTCTGAATTGTTCTCCTAGCTTTCCCCCTGGACATACCTGCTCCTTCTCTTTTGGTGTACGCCTCTGGAGGCTTCTGCGTCGCAGGTGGAACGTCATGGAGAAGCTCCACCTTCAGCCCGTCCAAGGTCACAAGAGTCCGCTCCATCAACACCAGGCTTTGTCTTCTCAACCAATAGGACCAGGGAAGAGGACTGCAGGGACTCCACCTCGGGCCTCTGGCACCCCATGGACAAGAAATACCACCCAGACGCCCTCTGAGGACAGCCACTCAGACTGTGACAGACCGTTGTTGCAGGATTTGAAAACCTTTGCGTCCGGCAGGACTGTTGAAGCTGCAGGCAATTTCAAACATGTCTTGTTGAGTTGGCGATTTGTCCAAACTTGCACCGGGGATTTTATTCATATATTACTGTATTTTATAAAAAATACCAGAGACTGAAAATGACTTTGAAGATGATGGTGATGCCGACATTGGACTTCTCTCCCCTCTCGTCCAGCAGCTCCCATCCGCAAGTTTTTTGGCAGGTGTGTAGCGGGAAATGTTCTCCTAGCTTCCCCTCTGGACATCACTGCTACTTCCCTTTTGGTGTTGCCCCTCCGGAAGCTTCTGCGTAGCAAGTGGGACGTCCTGAAGAAAGTCCACCCTCAGCCCCTCCAAAGTCGGAAGAGTCCGCTCCAACGACATTAGGCCTTGGACCAGGGAAGAAGACTGCAGGGGACTCAACACCCTCCACCTCAGGCGCCCCAGGGACAAGAGATACCGTGTGGAGGACCACAGACCCCCTGAGGACAGTGACTGGGACTGAGACGGACAGCTGCTGCAGGATTTGAAATGCGTCTGACAGGACTGATGAAGCCCCACGCAGCTTCAAAAACGTCTTGCTGGGTTGGCGATAGGTCAAATCCTGAACCAGGGATTTGTATTAATATATTCCTATCTTTTTAATATTGTTTTTTCTTTTGGATAATATTTGATGATGGTCGATGCTGATACCAGAGGTAAGTTAACATGGTATGGTTGTTCTCTCTGAATTTCTCCTTTTTAAAGTATAGATGGCTATACAAGACCGGTAAGTAAATAGTTAAGACGCATATACTCAAGCACTGTTTAAGTTCAGTTTGTTTCTTGTGGGTAGCAGCAACATACGGTACAGTGTTAAAGCAATGACAAATAACGTTAGGGAAAGTGTCCAAGTCTCTTGCAGGTATTGTAACAGGTCTCCGGCATTACACGCGGTGTGTCAACCTCCATTCAAGACGCAACTCTGTGGAAGACTGAAACTCAACATTCAGATAGTTCAAACTAGGAAGATGAGTTTACTGCAGACCAGACCAAAAGAAAGGATGACTTCTGATGAAGAGCGTGGGTCGCCTTTCTATCCAAAGGCTAAGTAAGTAATCCCCTCACAAGGATTGTATTTATTACGTGAGTTTTATCATATGTTTTCATCATTGGAGGTTACATTTAACAGCTTGCAACAGTTCAGAGGTTGTATATCTAGGTTTAAATTATTTATTTGGTGTGTTTCCCTCACAGGGCATGACTCCTCTTTGTGTTTTTGAAAGCTGAGAGTGGACCACCAACCGCTGATTTAGGAAGACTCTGCAGCACAGCAGAGCGCTCTCAGCACCATAGTTAGTCCCAGACCCTATGAGTACAGAAAGGAGCTCCATGTCCTCCACCTCAACAACCCCCGCTCCACCCACCAGCCGAGAGGACATTGTTACTTCTTCTTCTTCTTCTCTTGTGTTGGTGGGATCCAGAAGCTCCTCACACACACAGGAAGCTGTCACCACCTCCACATCTGTGCTCAGGAATCAACAAGAAAATATGACTTTGTATGACATCTTAAAAAACAAAATAATTCTAATGTAAATATGATTTTTTTTGTTTGCCATTTTTGTTTTACTCAAAGGCTGTTATTACTGTAAAGTGTATGTATGTATAATATAACATGTTGATATTGATGCCCAATCCAACCCTTTTTATTTTTGTAAATAACCCAAGTAAAGGCAACACACATTAAGATGAGTACTTTCTTTGGCATCTCATTTTGGGGAAAGAATCAGGTTATGTAACTCATATCCCTACATCACTTCATATGTATAAGGAGGTGTAAAATGCAGTTGCATGCACAGAGTGTTAAGTTTGTTCTCGAGTTTACAAATAAATAGTGTTCATCTAGTTATTTTCACTTACTCCAAGGACCATTTTTGTAACAAATAAAAGAAAATGGTGGATAATATTAACATATACTAAATATATATGTAAACGCATTCGGACATAAAAACTATGTGTATCATTTGGCAACGCATACAACATAAGCTCAACATTTGTGTGTCAAATAAAACTTCAGGATCAAATAAAAATGCTCACAACTCAGGGGCAGATTCCATACTTTCCTACTGTCTGTTTTACAGAAACCCTGTAGTCTGCTGCACTCAGAATAGAGTCAGCTCTGCAGCCGGAGCTGTACAGTGCAGTGACAGAGGAATATAAGCTCTTGGGCAGCCGCCACGGTTCATCCTGCTCCGTCTGCCCTTGCAGCCCCCAGGGACTCCGGCTCCCAGCATCCTGCCGACTGCCATACCGTCCTAACAAGGCTGCAAGGACTTTTATAGACTGTCACTCTTGTCCTCTAAGGCGCTACTTCCTTTAGCTGAAATACATAATTCTTATCATATATTTTGTCCTTTAATGAACACCAGTCAAAGTTGATTAATCTTGTAGAGCAGAACACATCATTAGTAACTTTCTGACTCGTCTGTATAACAGCGGGTAACTCCTCTTAAATGAGCGCATCTGCAATGAGGAATGATTTATTAAGCATGGAGCTGAACTATTAATATGCTAATTAATTTGAAGAGGGTAGGAAGGACGATTAAGATCATATCAAGATTTTGGTTCTAAAAATAGTGACTTTGTGTTGCAGCAAATTTAAAGACAACAATACTAAAGAAGCATTACATCGATGTCCTCGTGAGAATATAATGCAAGCTATGAGATCATAAGGCCTGCACTGAGATGTCACATTATTGTCCACTGGGAGTCAACTTAGACGTGATGGATGAGGTAAAGGTTTCAGTGCCCCGGATGGTTTCTTGGATCATAACTTTAAGCACTATTATAACAAATAAAAAAAGCTAATTTGGGGTGCTCAAACAAGCTTTATATGGAGCTGCACATAAAACAGCTCAGAGCAGTACATCTTGTGGACATCTCATATTTGAGTCATGGGTCATTTGGTTTTAAGCTCTGTGTATCAACACACCGTAAACACTGCAAAAAGAACACACACTCAGTCCCAGCCTGCTGCCTGCAGAGCCCCTTCCATCATGCTGGAGGGGACAGCAACTTCAAAAATCAATGGGGAAGAGAAGAAGTGTGTTCTTATATCACATAAGAATAAATGTCTTCTCTTTTTCTCGTATCCATAATTTGATCTTATTTGGTTATTACTCGTTGATTTATGGAACCCCCTAATGTTTTCTTATTTTTCCAAGAGTATCTTTTACAAGTGATAGAAAGCACTCTTGCCATGATAAGACAATAGCATCTCGTTTTTTACAGTCGACAGATTTTCCAAGGCGGGGAAACACAAGTTTAAAACTGCGGGACAAAAAAATGGCAAGCAATTAGAAGTTTGAATATTTTAGATTTTAGAGTAATTATGTTTATTAGATTATTACATTTGTGGGTAAAATAAACGTGATTCAGTTAATACTAAAACAACTCTTCTATTGGCTTACATACTGCTCTTACTGTAGATGCTATTTTTCCTCTAACGCCAGTATTGACGCTCTGTAAAATCACATTTAATTCGTTTAAGTTCATTAAGAAGTACCTGGAATTCAATACTGCTGAGGTTCTTCACCTTTTTGAGGCATCTGTCCAATTCCTGTGCATGCGCCAGAGTATTTTCACACCTGCCCTTGTATAGTGGTTAGGGGGCATTACACTACAATAAAGCAATCAACAACATGTCTCAAATTGAGACAGATTATAAAATACATTACACAGAATCTTGCTGCATAAGGCTGGTTGTGTCGCATGCAAAAACACCCACTGAGGCCCCAACAACCTGCACCCCCCCTCCCATTTCCCCCTCCTTACATCAGGTCTATACAAACGCCCCCACATCGCTGCCAAGGACAGGACCTTTGTTTGTTGACAAACTGGATGTTTGTGCCTGGATGTAGGTGGTAGGTGTGTTTGTGTTTTGTTTGTTTGTAGCCTTTATTTAACCAGGTGAAAGCCCCTTGAGATCAAAAGATCTCTTTTTCAAGGGTGACCTGCAGGACATTAGTTACACATGTAACATAAAAACAACAGAACAACAATAAGGATGACAAACAACATAATGTACAGGGTACAGTTTACAAACTCTATTTACAGAGACAGGTACCATGAGTATCAAACAGCATGTCACCCAGCTGAGTTTTAAAATGATGCAGGGGAACCAAAGTGCTCGGTTTTAAACATGTTTGCAGACTGTTCCAATTTAGTGGAGCTGCACAACTAAAAGCTTTCTTCCCTAAGGCAGTCCTAGCACTTGGCACATTTAATAAAACAACATCATGAGATCTCAGGCAATATGTACTTTCAATTCGTCGAGAGATCAGAGAGCAGATATAAAAAGGTAGTTTACCCAACATGGCTTTGTAAATGAACATGTACCAATGACTGAGCCTCCGTACAGTTAGTGAAGGCAGACCTGCCTTGGCATACAGGGTACAGTGATGAGTAAGTGCTTTACAGTTAGTAACAAATCTCAGGGCACTGTGATAGGCGGCATCTAACTTTTCCAGGCAATGGGCATTCATATAGATCAAATCACCATAGTCCAGCACAGGTAAAAAGGTCACAGTGACTAGCCTTTTCCTGGCTTCAAAAGAGAAACAGGACTTGTTTCTGAAAAAGAAACCTAGTCTAACCCTCAGCTTTTTAAGCAGGTTATTGACATGAAGTTTAAAAGTAAGACAATCATCAAGCCAGATACCTAGGTATTTATAACTGGTAACTGTAGAGGAAACTTCTGTGTAGCAATGCAGTGGGAGTCACCGACTCAGGAAGGAGACACGGTAGGAGCAGTAGCTTTGATGTCAAACACTGATGGTTTATTTGGAGTTACGGCCGGAGAGATTCACATCACAAGTCCAAGGGCCAGAGGTTCTGACTTCACGGTAGAGTTGCCACGTCAATTCTAAAGAACTCTACCCCAGACCCATGTATTTAACTAGTTCTGAGAGCATCATCAACATGCTGCATAACACCTCTATCAGCTGACGTCAACAGGCAGGAACAGGGAGACAGAACACTGAGAGCACAGCAGCCAAGGTTACGAGGTGCGTGTGCTCAGTCAGGACAGTTTGAACTGATAAACTGGGTCAAAGTTATGGGCCTTGGAAAATATTTCCACAACAGTAACCACTTCAAGTACTTGTCCTTGCATAGTAACAATATCCAAAACAGGCTCTGGTGTCTTTTTAGCTTTTGAAAATAGCATTACCTTGGTTTTATCAACATTTAAAATAAGCTTAAGTTCAGCAAGCTGAGTCTGAATAATGTTAAAAACAGCCTGTAATTTAACACCAGCCTCCTTAATGGAGGGACCTGCACAATACATCACGGTATCATCAGCATAAAAATGTAAAGTAGCTTCATCCACATTTTCACCTAAACTGTTGATATATATGGAGAATAAAAGTGGACCTAAAACAGAACCTTGAGGAACACCATTAGCAATGTTTAACCACTCAGAAGACAGCCCATCAAAGTGAACACATTGGGACCTTTCAGAGAGGTAGTTCACAAACCAACCCACTGCATGGCTGGATATGCCGATACTGAGTAGCCTCTGCTTTAAGATGCGATGATCGACGGTATCAAACGCTTTGGAAAGGTCAACAAATAGAGCTGCACAACTCTGCTTATTGTCTAAAATACTCGTAATGTCATTCACCACTTTCATTGTGGCAGTGATGGTGCTATGTTGTTTTCTGAAGCCTGACTGATGTTTAGACAGGATGTCATTTTTACATAAAGACTCCTTTACCTGTTCACTCACTAGGCGTTCGAGCACCTTCGCCAGAACTGACAATTTAGAGATTGGCCTATAGTTATTTAAAATAGTTGCCTCCCCTCCTTTTAGTAAAGGCAAGACATAAGCTGACTTCCATACTTTTGGAATTGCATTTGTGCTGAGGGAGAGGTTAAAAAGAGTAGTAAGAAGAAGAGCAATAAAATCTGCAGCTATCTTTAAAAAGAAAGGTTCTACGTTGTCCGGGCCAGCCGGTTTCTTAGGATCTAGCTTAGATAAGGCTTCATGAACAACATTGACAGTAAAAGGAGTAAAACTGAAAGGGTTTTCCAGACCACATTGTTTAGAGTCACGGATTGGGGTGTTCACAGAAGCAGAGTTAGTCACAGAATCAAACATAGAACCGCAGGACACAAAATGCTCATTAAAGCAATTTAACATAGTGGCCCTGTCCGATATAGTGCCAGATGCTGTGGTAAGGCACGGAGGTAGCTCATTACCGATCTCACCGGTGGATATCGATTTTATTGCTTTCCAAAATTTCCTAGGATTATTTAGGTTTTCTGTGGTAACTGACAAATAGTACTTCGACTTTGCACTTTTGACATTTGAAGTGAAGCTATTCCTTAGCTGCCTAAAACGCAGCCACTCTACCTCTGAGCCTGATTGCCTAGCCTTTGCCCAGGCCGTGTTTCTCTCATGAAGGAGACTAGACAGCTCAGCAGAAAACCAAGGATTGTCTCGTCCCTTTACTCTAAATGTACGCAGGGGTGCATGTCTATCAATGATCTCCATAAAACCAAGATAAAAATAAGACCATGCGGTTTCCACATCAGCACACAGATCGATTTTACCCCAATCAAAATCAAACAGATCATGCACAAAACCCTGTTGTATCAACAACTGATTATTTCTCCTCTGTTGTCTCTTCATATATCATTTCAGATCTGTTGTTTTATGTATTATATTAGCATATCTGTGTTTTATTGTTTGTTCAATATCTTACGATCACATCATTCAGAACATATTTGCTGTGGTATTAAAAATAGGGCTGTAGACAGGATTGAAAAAACATATATACAACGATTTTCCCCAATGCAAACCCACTGACGCTTTTTTAAAAAGTCATTAAACACTTCTGCCATATTTTATACTTGTACAAATTCTGATATTCTTAAATTGTATTAATTCATTAAAATAGTAGTATTTAAGTGCATTAGGGTCTAAATGTTACAACCTCTGAAAGCAACACAGACTCAAGTGATGTCTTTTGATTGTGGACAGTTACAGTGAGATATCCAAAACGTTTTTCACATATGTAGTATAACTTTGCTGTTTCATATTCGGAGTTCCCATTTAACAGACAAACTGCCTTCTCTTTGATCCTGTTAAAATGTTTTTGTTATTTGTTGCACCTGCAGTCATACCTGTAGTGTAGTGATGTCACCTGTAGATCACTGCAGCAAGGTGAGACGTCCAACCACTAGAGGTCAGCAAAGACAATTTAGAAGAGGCAACTCTTTATATTGTTTTTTCTTTTTATATTTACGGAAAAGATCATTGCAGATCAAAAGTTAATTGTGATCTTATGATATTTATGTTCACTACATTTCCGAGCTAAATCATAACAGAATGAAATTCATTGTGGGGCTCCAACACTGACATCTAACACCAACAATATCTAGATTGATAAATAAAACTCAAGGTAGGAGAAAAATAAAATATGTTTGGGTGAGTGGTCCTTTTAGGAAGTTATTGTTCAAATAATAACTTTAAAACTTTAGTGACAAAACCCAAACTTCTCTGACCTCATCGGCTATAACACAAAGGGAACACATTTTTACATTATTCATAATCATTTTCATGGGTAAAAGTACTTACTTTAATTATAAATAATTAAATAGTTGATTGAATTGAGTATGCCTGTTTGTTCACTGTGTATGTTTCTATAAGATACTTCGAGGGTGTGTCAGCTGATGCAGCTGTGTTGCAGCTCTGGCATCAGTTCAAAGTGCACCTACATGTGTGTGTAATAAGGTGCCCTCTATCCTCACTCTAGCACCTCTTATCATTACTGACCTCACATCTCCCCCTGGTGCTGACGGAGGCGGATGCTCAATGAACTGCAAAAGGAGTGTGCAGGATCTCTGTGTGTGGTGTGTGTGTGT